ATAGCCGGCTAATCACTTCTGTTCATAGCTGTTAAAAAAAAATCAGAAATTAAATCCTAGAGACTGGAACAATCCCTAGTGAAGGAGCAGAAAGTCAAACCAAATGAACTGGTGAGAAGACGTAAGGGAAGACATGAGTAGAGGAGAAGTAAGAGGAGATATTAACTGTGAAGTTTGTGTTGTGCCTCACGTGATGCCCTTGGCTGAACTGTGATACCCTTGTCGTTCTCCACTGGTAGGAAGAAACACAAAGGGCTGAGGTTTGGCTTCTCATAGCAGTCACGATTTTCTCTCTCCCCGGGCAGCCTTCTGGAGTTCAACCCTGCCTTTTGCCTTCCGGCTGTTTCATTCCTGGTACCGGTATAATTTCAGTGCGTGGAAGGTGGAGTGGGCACGAGAGCATCTTTGTTCCTCTTTAGCTTCTGGTTTGGGTATGCCATGATCTTTGGCTAAAATGCATCTTTAGCACGAGGAATTTTGCTTATGAAAATATGTGCCTCTATGTCGCCTTTTGCACGAAGCCACCGAATCACCTGCTGCGCGCCCTCAAAGAGGGTGTCCAGGCCCCGCGCTGCCTGGCCCTGGGGCTCCTTCTCCGTCGGTCATGGCGTCCCCGTCCCAGCGATGAGAGCCCTGCGCACGCTGCTCCCGGTGCCAGTCCTCATGGGAGCGGTTTAACCAAGAGGGTGTTGGCTGACCCGCCAGCGCTTGAACAAGATCGACTGGTTTGTGTAAGACCTCACAGCCTGTCTTAAACCCCTCTCTGTGTCTTGGCTTGGAGCTGGTGGCTCCTAGGAGAAGGACAGCAAGAGGTGGTATTGCCTCTGCTCCTGGAGGAGATACCAAGAGGACAACCCAGGCAGGGTCTGGGGATGTGACACGGTGTTTAACATGGAAGCAGACCACTGCTTTCCTAAACCTTTGCCAGAGGCGTCACAGGGTGGAAGAAGCGGCAGCCCTTGTGGGTTAAGACCAAGGGAGGTGTCCTTCGGTGATGGGGTTAGCTGTCCTCCAGGATGACTGATGGGGCAGCAGGTGACAAAGAACAACACAAGGTCCCAAGCTCACCGGGTGCCTCCAGGCACTGGAAAGCTGCCCCCAGCACCCGTCCAGCTTCTCTGTGCTGGGTAGTGAGAAAGGGAGAGCTGTGGGGCCAGGCGGGTCGGGCTAGGACCACCCTGACCACCCCAACAGCTGGTGTTGATAAGACACTGGTGCTGAGACTGGCCCTCTCATGACACCTGTAGCGCTCTCCCCCTGCCTTCAGAGCCCTTCACAACCCTCTGCTGCTCCCGGGGACCTTCAGGATTTCAGCTCGGCTCCTCCTCAAGCCGGCCAGCTGGGACTTGCTCTTCCAGGAGCCCATGAGCCCTGTGGCAAAAGCCTGTTTGACATCCTCTTACTTAGGGACGTGTTCGTCTGTCCGCCCCGACACACTCTGCTGAGTCAGCAGGTGGTGGGGTCTGTCACTCAGCCTTGTCAGCTTCAGTTGCTCTTTCCCCCCAAACCAGCAGGTAATGAAAGAGGTCTTCCCCTGCTGCGAAGCAGGATTACCTAATTAGGATTACCTAATCCCATAATCCCATCATCTGATAAAATTTAAAAAACTTTTTTTTAGACGTGACAAAAGTATTTACTGGAAACAGACTGTCTCAAACAAAATGAAAAACCTGATTAGGTAAAGAGCCTCAAAAAGGCAATTTTACAGAACGCTTCTTGGGATGAGACAGAAGCAGAAGCAACATATTTAGGAAGAAAACATGGAGAAAAAAGAACTAAATAATGAATTATTTGCTGCAACGAACATGGCCTCGTGGTATACCAGGAAACCATAATGAATGCAAGCTTCTCTTCATAAATAACTTTCATTAAGCTTTCATTTCTGCTTGCTGACTTTGCTCTTCAGAGGACAACAGCTTAGGACAAGACTTATGAAGAAAGTAGCAGAGGAACAAGCACAGAGCATCACCGCTGTGCCACAGCCACGGCGTGCTCCTGTGTTTTTCACTGGGAGTCACTCCATGAAGCTTCTCACCAAAGGATGCTGTGGATGCCAAAAGTTTACATGGATTGATAAAGCAAGTGGGCAAAGACTTGCAATATCCATCACGGAGCACTCAATAGTATCACAGCTGGCTTGGGAGGATGGGAAATTGTTTGCAGGAAGAGTCCTGACCAACTTGCTCTGCTCTGCTGGAGGCATGCTACTGGGTAAGAAAGACGAGCATTTCAGCTGGCACGAGAGTAGCGTCCTACAGTGGTCAGCCAGGCCAACACAAGGACATCCAGCATCAGAGAGGAATCACTGCCATTCACTTCCACCGAGCAAATTCTAGTAATGAATTCTGTTACCAAAAATAACGCACAACAGCATTTGGAAAGACTGTTCTCCACCCAAAATTATTTTCTGTGTTCCCCCCAACTGCCATCAATCTACTTTGCCTTTCATGGCCACTTGTGGGTGATGCAGATGCTCCAGGAAATTTTAAAGGAAGCATGACAGACTGAAAATTTGGCAGTACCCCAGTGCAGAGCTTCAAGTAATTTCTCCTTGAAATGTTGCTTTGCCTCACAACTAGATTATTCCTCCCTGAAACAAGCTGATTCTTGTTCACATCATTAAGATGTTTATGAAGTTTTTCTGATGAGCCTCAGAATTTTGGCTGGTAGAAACAAAGACGTTGTTATAAAATAACTGTTCTTCCTTCAGGCTAAAAACAAGCTCGTCAACACATCACGGCATCTCTGAGACCACCATTGTCATAGTGCAAGAGATGCAGCACAGTGCAGCACGTGGGGCGTCCCACTTGGATTCCCACTCATCCGGTTGGTCTACAGATGCATGTTGAACTGAAGAAAGAAGTGAGACCTCCCAACCATTCAGGGTAAATGAAATGGCCAGATCTGCAAGTGCAACCAAAAATAATACAGCTTGCCAAATCCAGAAGGGATTGGCTGGAACAAAAGTCAGAAAGAAATTTTCAGGTCGCCCTAAAAGGGCACTACAACCTTCCTCAAGGAGCTTTCCGCATCATGACAGACCCTCTTCTCTCCCTTGTTCAGGCGAAATGCATGCAAAGGCGTGCAATCCATCATAAGAGGTGCCGTACTTGGGGCAATCAGCTAGGTTGAAGGATGATGTCTTTCTGCATTGAAGATTTAAAAACATTTCCTGTACTTACAGCACAGGAAAAATAGCTATTCTTAAACAACAGCTAGTCAACATGATACCAGCAGCTAGAGAGCATCCCGGTGCTGCATGGGATGTGAGCAGGCTTGTTGCTCACGGCAGAAAGCAGATGGGCCTGTTTAAGACAAGGAATAACTCCCTGACCTGTTTTCTTTTGGTCCACATGCCTCGGTTAGTCTAAAATACTCTAAAAATGGGAAAAATAGTAATCACAGTATTTAACATTGAAATTCAAGCCAACTCTTCTTCTGTTTCTAACTAAAGGTCAATGTACTGAGTTGGGTTTTATAGAGGACCTGCAAATTTTGTTTCATGTGAACTCGGGTATAACAGTTCAGCCTCTATTTTGCATGTATGTAGGAAGCCTGGGATGAAGAAACATCTTCTCACATGCTTGCCCATGCAAAGAATGGCTGCTGTAGATTTGCTCAGAGCAAATGCTCAGAACCTGGCAATATTTAACGCAATTTGTCCCAAACCTTACCGAATGTGGCATTTTCACACAGAATCACACAGAATCACTAAGGTTGGAAAGAACCTTCAAGATCATCAAGTCCAACCATTAATCCAGCGCCACCATGTCCCCTAAACCATGTCCTGAAGCGCCACATCCACACGTTTTTTGAACACTTCCAGAGATGGCGACTCCACCACCTCCCTGGGCAGCCTGTGCCAATGCCTGACCACCCTCTCGGTGAAGAAATTGTTAAAGACACAAATATGTAAAAGTCTTATTTCATAAAGTAGCTAGACTTCACCTTATTTCTTTGTGAAGTACTGATCTGGATAACAATATTCAGACAAACACAGATTGAACCCTCTGTGGTAGGCAGCTACCTGCATGCCTGATCTGCTGCATGGATGATTTCTGCAGTGCTGCTTGGTCACCTGTATAGGTACTGTATGTGAAGAAAGCACTTTAGTCAGAAAATACACAACACAAAACATCTCAGATAAACCCTAAGAAGTAGGCACTTTGTACATTCCCTAAGCCCCCTTTTTATTTGGATTTTGCACATCACGTATCAGAATCACATGCTGGGCTGTCTTTCTTGTAATTACTTTTCAGGATTTATTTCTTTCCTGATTCTTCCTTTTTGGCTTCTCAGTTGTTGAAAGAAAAAAACCCCATCCACATTAAAAATGTGATTCCTTACAATTTTTTTTGAATTTCAAAACCCCTAGCACTCTATTGCCTCTAAGGAGATGTCTTCTGGCTGTGTTTTTTCACCACAGACCTGTTAGATCTCCTTCTGATCCATGTTGGTAGTTTTAAAGGTCCAGGTGCCAACTGTAAGACGGCAACAGTGAATTTTCTGTCTCTGATGAAGCCAGGAATCAGCTGAGTTACAAGGGGGTCCTGAACCCCAGGTTTCACGGGAATTGCAGGCACTATAAAGCTAACTACATGGGAAAGGCTACAAAGGATCCATCATGTCTCAGAGATCGCTGAGATATCAGTCTTAACAAAAAGTCTGAAAACCCAGTTTCCTTACCTGTGTTTCCTGTACTTTGCAAATAAACAATGGCTGCTGAAGAAAAAAAAAAAAAAAGAAAAAAAAAGAGAGAAGAAAAAAAGGAAAAAAGAAGAGAAAAAAAAAGAAAAAATGGAGGAAAAAAGGAAGAAGAAAGGAAATGGTTGCCAGTCAGGCTTCTCTCCCCACCCTGTCATCGCTCCAGCTAAAAGCAGAACATTTTAATCAACTACATTCAGGTGGTCCAAATAGTGACAAATTTCAAAATCCTTTAGAGATAGCATTAATCTTACAAGACACATCAGCAAAAAATATATCAAATCAAAACAGCAGCTTTACGGATGCCTCTTCATCATGTCAATGATTTCCTGGTACAAAACCTCCATCGCATCGAGCCCCAGTAGGAAATCCAGGTGGTTCCACTGGGGAATCACCTTGTGGTAGACCAGGTTCCTGATCTGGGGGAGCGTGAGGGCAATGTCCCGGGGATCAGCCAGGCAGTCCACACCACCACTCCAGATGGCCATCGGCACTTGCATGTCCTTCACATTGTAGAGTGGTGGACCCATCTGAAAAGATGGAAGACTAGGATTTCACAAAGGAGAGACATTGCTGCAATGCAATAAAACACACACCGCACAAGAGCAATTGCTGTTCTTTGGGAATTAAGGAAAAAAAAAAAAAAACCCAGTCTGGAAAGGTTTTCTTTTAGAAAGAAGAGAAATTTTATTAAAAGATGCAGTATAACCTTATGCGCCACAATTTAATGAATAAATTAGTAAATTTAATTTAAATCAATTAGTAAATTAGTTCTGTCCTGTTAGAAATTCTGGTTCTGGTACTACAGATGACTTGATGATTAACTTCCATAAGCAGGCAAAATTTTAGCTGTCGTGATCTAATGCTGGTGGATCAACCTGCTTCGAGCAGGAGGTTGGACTGGAGACCTCTAGACGTCACTTCCAAGCAGCTCTGCTGTGGTTCGTGGTTACACTTCATGTGAGCACTGGCCTTTCCTTCAGCTTCGTAACAGCAGGAAAGTGTTTGGAAGCAAGTTCTTGAAAATAAGACACATCTGAAGGGTTGCTTTAGCATGAGGACTTGCCATCAGGTGTCTTATCAGCATCATATCTCCTTATCTGCAGTGTAATTATTCCAGCTAAGCAGCATGCCACTTTCTGAACAATTTGATTTTTCTTGCTTAAGGAAGAAATTATACATAGAAAAGAAAAACTGTTGGACATATCCAGAATGAGGACTAACACCGCTGAGCAATAGCACTTCGGAAAATGGTGTGTGTGTTCTTGCTACAAAACACACAGCTATTTTGGCGTCTCTGAGCAGGGGTGCCACACTTGGAAGAAGCTGTGCTCTGCATACAGCCTGTGGCACACACTTCAGAGAAGATGCATGAACTGGTGAGGGTCCAGGAGAGATCAAGAAGAGGCCATTTGTATCCATGACCTACAAAGAAATGTGCGAACAGCCGGGTACATTTAGCCTAGGGAAAAGAGAACAGGAGCAGCATAGCCCAACTTGAGTCTCAGAGGGGCTCTGGTAGTGACTGTTCTCCATGCCCACAACGGGAAGAAGGAGAAACAGTCAGCTTAATTGGTAATAAGCTTAACTGGATGCTGTCCAGGAGAATCTCTGCTGCAGCCTGACCGCTAACGGCGCTTGGGCTGCAGGGCAAGACTGGAGCGAGTCTGTAGCAAGACCCCTGAAATGTGCCTGCTGTGGATGCAGGGTCCTCAGCCCCAAACGTCTCTCTTTGCAGATCCACTCCTTTGGGCCACTCCACTTGATGATGCACAGGCAGCCCAAGAAGCTGCCGAGCATTTTATGAAGAGGTGAAAACAAAACCAACGAAGATACCACTGATGTGTTGCAGCAACCAACGCAAGAGACTGACCACAAAGGACCATTAAAATACTCCGTATTCTGTTTTGCGTAGGAAAGTAGCTGGGAAGGTTTACCTGCAACAAGTGGATTACATTTTGTACTGAAGTTCCCGCTGGGGAGTGTGCCGCATACACATCTACTCAGCTCTGAAAGCACCTTTCAAAATGGGTTTCACCTGGCTCCATGAAACAGGGCAGCCAAGGCCTTGTCCTTCAGAAGGACACCAAGGGCCCTCTGCAGATTTATTCCTCCATACCATATTTACATTCTTCCAGTTAAATCCAAAGAGCATAGACAAGATGCTCTTGCGGGTCTTCGAGCAGGAACAGAATTTGGAAAGGACCAGCTCACCCAAGGCAGTGCGTGGTAGGAACTCTTTGGTGCCAAACATCTTCTGTAAAATTGCAAATGTACTCATCAAATACGAAGACTTTTTCTCAAAGCACCACCACTTCGTAGCTTCTATTTTATGTCATATCCCATATGATATGGGATTGAGGTTGCCCAGAAGTGGACCCTTCCTTGTACCCCATTAGATGCTTCTGTTCCATGTTTTTTACGTGCATGACCTCTTACATTCATTGTACTCTTGTGTTAAGTGGTAGGGCGCAATTCACAGTCTCTGCATTGGCTTTATTCACCAACATTTTGACACCTGCTGTGTGCAGGTCTGCCCATACGACTAGCCCTCTTGGCTTTAATTCTGCCAGAACATTTTGAGGAGTAAATGCAGGACAGGACAGAAAGACTCAGGACTGAGATGTGTGATTCCCTTTGTTATGAAAACAGATGGAGCACAGAGTTCCTCTCTCTGTAAATTATTTGAAATACACTGTGTAGGCAATTTCACAAACTCTGTGAAAAACTACATTAATTTTGACTATGCAGAATATAGTCTGGACCAACGTACCTTAAGTCCATAATCAGAAAAGAACGAGAGCTTTTTAAGCGGACTTTGAACAAACATAACTGTGGCCACAGGGGCTAAGACAAAGTACATCTTGATTTTTCTGAGCCAGCTGAGGCATAGTGGAAAAGGCTATAAAAGCTGAAAAAAAAAACCCGAAGAAGAAAAAAAACCCAGCTTACTCTTTCAAGACATTCATGTATACAGTTTAACTTCGGTAAGAACAGTTTTACAAATCCCAAAGACAACGTGGATAGCCTATACTGTCATCAGGATATGTGATATTACTATTTCAGAGACATCTCACAGCATCTGCTTTTGTCTCCAAGGATACTGTCCACCGGGTATTTTCAGAGGCACAAGCAGAGCAGTAGCTACACTCTGCATCTCAGCAGGCTTCTGGCAGAGAGGCTTTGCTGGGAGCGTTAGCAGAGCTGGGGCTGCCCAGGGAGCTCCGTAGGCAAACACGGAGGTGCCTGGAGATGTGATAGGATAAAATGCACCTTTCAGGGATCTAAAGCCTCCCAGTTGTCACTCCTCACAGGACAAAAGGGCCCCCCGGAAGCTCCTCAAGGAGTATCAAACCAGTTTGCTGATTTACCACATGGCTGCAGGGCCACATATTAGAAGCCAGGCTCCCAGAGAAAATCCGAGGTGTGCATGAGGCATCGGTGGGTAGGATGGGTGGGCGGCCTCTCAGTGCTGGGATTGCAGCCTGCCAGCTGCATGGGGCATCACCCACGCTCAGGTCTCCACGCAGGGTGAGAAAACATCACTGCAAGGGATCAACATTCCCTACAAATTCTTATTGACCAAAACACAGATACCAAGACATGAGGGATCTTGAAAACCCTCCTGCACAAGCCCTGGTATCCCACTCAGAAGACAACAGCATAAGTTCTGGGTTTCCTGTATGACACAGATACCAATTTTACCTTGGCTTCCAGCATTTCCTCTCCAGTAAGGAATTCTATTTAGCTTAAGGACATAGCCACCTTCTGTCACCACATCGTACTCCTCACTGGGGTATCCCCAGAAGGAGAGCATTCCACTCCGCAAGAAGAAAATAGCAAAGAACAATGTTTGCCAAGTGCCGTGAGGCTTGCCTTCAAGGTAATCTGTATTTAACTATCAGTATTTTATACTCACTGTTTCCTGGACACTCACTGCCTCTGCACCAATGCCACCATACTCAGGATGTTCATCCGTGCTTCTGGATTCTTAGAAAGTGGAAATTTGAAGAGGCATTGCCCGGATACCATCCCACGGACCACGGACATCGGAGCTAGAGCCAGCCACATCCTCACTTGCCTAGACCAACACGGCCACAGTGTCAGTGCCCATCGGAAGCAGCGGAGCTTCAAATCAGATCCACACTGAGCAGGTTTTGATTTCATACCACGTAGATGCTCGCTTGATGTCCAGAGAGAAACACTGCTTACTAGTCAAAGCCCAGGACACACATGGGGAAGAACAACCTGTGCTTTCACTGTAAGCTAACAACAGGTGATTTCCAGCAGTGAGAGGAGAAATCTGGGCAAGAAAACACCCCAGGTAGGACTCAGCCTTAGTCTGGTGGCCTAGATGGTCCCTTAAAGAATGAATGCATGTGCAGGGGCTCAGGAAACACACCTCAACTGGCATATTTTCAGGGAGGTGGAACAGACTTTCAGAAATTCTGGAAAGGGACAAGGCAGCAATCTTTGCAATGCTCTACGGACCCTGGAAATCGCAAGTGTGTTAAAATGTAACATCAGAAGCGTCATCTTTTTTTCTGTTGTTTTTGTCTAATACATGTGTTCCTGTCCAAAAGACTCCAGAAAACATCTTTGAACCCCAATCCATAGTGCAATTAGCTGCTGGAGCTTAAGGGCAGCTGGGCGCTTTCTACAGTAATTGCAGGACTGCAAGGCAAGGCACGTCGAACAGGAGATCACTCAGCATTTAATTACGGCTTTAAAAGTAACCCATTACGGTACCGCGGGCTCCCATGCTAAACGGTAAATTCCAGCACGCACCGCGTGGTGCCCCCAGCAGACTGGCAGCGGTGCAAGCACTGTCTCCCACATCACCTTCGGGAAGCACCTACAGGTTTCTCGTCTCAGCAAGACACACAAGGCAGAAAAATGTGAAGTCCTCCACATGGGAGGAAAAAAACCTCCGTGCCACGGTACCAAGCGGGTAGACTGGGTAAAAAGAAACACGCCGGACAAAAATCAGCTTGAGGAGAAGGAGGTTGGAACTGCAGGGGACCTGCACCCTGGCAGTGATGAAGGCTGCACTGGTCAAAGCGTGGTCCAGGGAAGAGGCTATTGCCTTTGCCGGGCACTGGGGAGGCCACGGCTGTATATTGGGACTTTTAGGGGCTGTTATGTACAAGACCTACGTAACAAACTGGAGCGGGTCCCGTGCCAGGATACTGCATTGGTGGGGTGGAGGTCAGGTGAGGCCTGGGGGAGCTGGGCTCTCTCAACTGGAGATGAGGAGGTGAAGGGGGATCCAACAGCACCTCCCCCTGCCCAAAGGGGTCCTGGAGACACCAGGGACAGACTCTGGAGGGGCACAGCGAGAGCCCCAGGGGCATTGGCACAAGCTGCAGATCCCAACCCAGATGTTCTCTTACCAATACACACACGTAGGGTGTTACTTGTCACATCAGCTATGGCACAGTGCAAGCCACTTCTCCGCTATCTCTTCCCAGCTGGAAAGAGGGAGAGCTTTGTAACATTGCCATGCTGTTTGCCTCACCCATTAGCACAACCGTCCAAGCCTAGTCAGGAGGCAGAGGGAGGATAGGAGGTTGATTTTGATCAATCGAATAAGAGCCAACACCGCATTCACTCCCTAAATAGAAATAATGAAAAAAAATCTCTAACCACTTGCCCTTCTCCTTGATCGTAGTGAAAAAGACAAGAACTGGTTACATTTAATTCAGAGAAGGACATTTATAAGTGCAAATCTATGTGTGAATTGTATCACCTTAACGCGGGAGCAATGCATTTTCCAGCAGATCTAGGCGTCACAATGACACTGGGTTTAACACGGTTTAAAAAAATACTTTGTGCACGGGAGAGCGCACTGCCACAAGACGTCGTGAAGGCGAATGGGAACAGCAGAAGGTTTTACACAAAGTTGTGGGCAATAAGTCCATAAACAGATACCGAAAGGACTGGGCGGGGTTGTTCCCTCCAACAGCAGTTGTCGAAGTTAGCGACCACAAGGTGATGGCCCACCAACTGGAGAAAACTGGGTTGGACCAACCTCTAGAGCTGACCCAGCAAATCAGATTTCAGTCCCCTGTTCTCAGACAAACGCAGGCAGTTGGGTTGGAGTTGCTTTCCTTCAGCTGGAGCCATAAACACCATCCACATCCACACTTAGAAAGAGACCCAACTCTACCAATGCTTTTCCCACACTCACCTTTATAAAAGCAAAGGCTACCAGCCCAGCCGAGGGGTGGCACAGCTCCTGCAGAAGGAGACAGGGAGAAGTCAGCCCCTCGGATAGATAGACAGTATAGGGAAGCAATGCCTGGCGTGCAGAAGGGATTGGAGTTGGGGCACATGGCAGCAGCAGAGGACTGATCGTCACCTCTCACTGGTGCGCGGCGCAGCGCTCTTCATCTCTCTTAAGACAAGAACTGTCTGGAGGGTAGGGTAGCGAGAACAGAGAAGACTAAATGTAAACACACTGAGATATTAAATATATAAATCATTAGGCAACACCATGGTTTAGAAAATACGGTTGCCCAGAAATTGTTTGTGCAGGTCGGTTAAATACTGTTTAGGCAGAGTCAAATAACTATGGATATTTAAAGGTGATTTCCATTGATAAAGTCATTTAATTGGTAACTCTGAAGAAAGTTTCCAGCTTTGTGTTTCAATGGCCATTTTGTTTATTTATTACAAGAGAAATAATTAAGTTATTACAAGGGAAGACTGAAGTCTAAAATGGGTTTCCAATGGCAGATCTTATGTTTTAGGAATGATGATGTGCAAGACAGAGCTCTACAACCCTCTGTTATAGGATATTATGGACAGTGATGTTAAGTGTGAGCTGAAGACTAAATCCCAGGCAACAGTCTAAAAACCTCTGTACTGGGTCTGTCTGGGATGGAGTTTACTTTCTTCATAGCATAAGGATGGGGCACAGCCAATTGGCCAAAGCAATAGTCCATAGCATACAATGTCATGATCAGCAATAAAAAGTAGCGGGGGTGTTGTCTTCCAAGGTAGCCATCACTTGGAGCCTGGCTGGTCATCGGTCTGCTCATGGGAGGTGGCAAGTGATTGCCTTTGCATCATTTGTATTTATTCTCTTTCCTTCAGTTACTAAGCTGTCTTTCCCTTGTCCCAGTTTTCTCACTTTTGCTTTTCTTATTCCCTCCACCTGTCCCACTTGGGGTTGGGGCGTGGAGTGAGTGAGTAGCTGTGTGGGTGCTTAGCTGTCGGCTGGGGTCAACCCACCACAACATCCTTGTTCTTCACACCCTTACAAGAAAGTACGACCTATCCTACATACACGCTGCAGGCAAGGATAGTCGTTCTTCTCCATCACCCACGTCAGGGCTGTGGCTGTCTTCTGCCCTGCCTTCCTGGATTGTTTTGCTTTGGAAATCACAGTGCAGGCCCAATAGGGAAGGATGTCTTCTGGCTGTCAACCTGATGTAGACCTGAGGTGTATCCAAGGCATGCACCTAGATTTGGCAATTGGTCCCGCTCTTTAAACATAGCCGTAGTAGCACATGGGTTCATCATTTAGACATTTGGATGTTAAAAGTGTCTTGCTTTTAGGATACGGAAACCACACTTTACTCAGTAAGACACCTTTGACTTTCACCTTCTGAGTAAACAGGTAACGGAAGTCTGCAGTCCAGGGACAGGGCAGGGCAACTCTGGTCACACTCGCCTGGAGGTACTGTCCTCCCTGCAAGATGCGAGACTAAGTTTGCTTCCACAGTCATGAGAGTCCCATAGCACTTGAAGAACGAGACTTTATCACAGGTCTTGCAAGATGCTCGGGCCTCTCAAAGTTCATATGCAGCTCTTGCTGAAGCATCATCACTGTAGAGGTTGAATGGGATGAAGGAGAGGCTCTTGAGCTTCATTACACAGTCATGACATCAAAGAAATGTTGGTGGGAAAGGATCTCCAGAAGTCTTTATCCATTGTTCCACTAGAAGCAAGACTATTCCCAGATTGGCCCTGGCTTTGAGCAGTCAAGTTTTGGAAATCACCCAGGATGGAGATCCCACACCTCTGTGGTGACTGTCCCAGGGCTGCTCCCCACTCCCCGGAGAAAGAAGCATTTCCACGTGTCTAGCGTCAACATCCAAAGGTGCAACAACATTTTCCCTTATCATATCATCTGCCACTACAGAGAGGCATTTAGCTCTGTCACCTTTTGCCCTCTGAGGAGTCACAGGATGCTCTCACACTGCTCTCAGCCTTCCCACGGCCAGACCAAGTAAGTTCAGCTCCGTCCACCTCCCATTGTAGGGTCACTGCCAGTTTGTCAGCCTCTACGGGGCCTCACTGGTGTCTCCATATCCCTCACACCAAGCAGACCAAAACTGGACCTAGCATCCCTCATCCAGGGCCGCCTGCCCCCGGCACACGCTTCAGGTAGGTGTTTGGCCCCAAAGCAGAAACATGTCACACATCCAAGAGTTCTCACCCAACTCATGCAGCCCTTTCTTGCCTCACTCTTGCTTTCTTTTCTAGCAGTACACACGGCGTGTTCACCAGCGAGCACAGAGCTTTTTCCATTGCTGTTCGTCTTTAGGTGTTTCCACTACCCATCGTGCTGAAGTTTAATAATCATATTTTCACATTTTGACGGTAAAATTACTGCCAAAGATTCTGTCTTAATTCTTGGTATTTCTCTTTTGGCCTCAACTCTTTTACTGTCCTAATACTCTTCTATGACTAACTTCCTACCTGCTTCAGCTTTGACACGTCTTTCTCCTAGGCAGCTGGTGCCCAAAGGGAATGGCCAGCTCTGAACCGGAGCCAGCAGCACGCTGCATGGAGGGACGGGGTGTTGGTGGGCACCCACAGCAGGCAAGGTGCAGAGCAAGGTGCCAACAGGTACTCACCCTAGGAGGTGCTGAGGAGGGGACGTAACCTCCTGACGCTTCTTCCCAGGGCAGCGGTGCCAAGAAGAGAAAACCTCCCGCCAAATCTCAATACACGGCTCTACACTCTTACATGTTGGAGGGTCAATCATATGGTCAATCTTTTTTTTTTTTTTTTTAAAATGAGGATGCCGCGGACTGAACACCCGTTCTCCTCCATGACTG